GCATTATTATGTAGGCTTCTTGATCTTTGTCATAAACTATAATATTTATAGAGATATGTATTCTTACCAATATGTCATGCATGTTTACGTGTGTGTGTGTTTCTTTTGGAAAAGTGTGCTGGAATCTTCCGTTTGGTGAAATCGTTTTAGTTAATTAGGTTTTGCTACATTTTTGTTAACGGACCAGAAGAATATCCGTTTGTTCTTTTAATGACAAAGACATATAAACTTATCACCTTTGTTTCTTGAAACAAATAAATAAATTCCCACTTCTACTATTTGGTGAATGTTATGTCGAATGTGGATTTCAAAACTATAAGGAATTTTTATAATTCTTCTGTTTACAGAAGTAGTCCTTCCATATGAAATATGATAAAAGATAGGCTGTTTAAATTGGTTAACTTAATCACAAATTACGCATCTTGGTTGATATAATCAAAGTCTATATGTATATACAATTGGGAATCGAATATTTTGTGTCATTAGAATTGTAGTTTTGTGAATGATTAACAATTCTATCCGACCAAACCACTCTTGTCTTTATAAACTCTTTTCTCTTGATAATATCATGTTAAGTTGACCTTTGCCGGAGACTACGCTTTACTCTTTTGTCATATTATACCAATTTTTTTGTTTTTTTTTCAAATTCACTTTCAAAAGTGAAATATAATAAAATTGGTACATCTAAATATTCGATAATTTACCAAGACGGTTTTCGATCCCAACGCTTAAAAACAAAAACTTATAAAGTAAAGAGAAGGAAGTTTTGTCAAATAGTTAAGGATGTGATTCCCAAAGATTCTTGGGTTCACGTTTGTACAAAAACAGAAGTTGTCTTTATCTTTTTGGTTTTATTGTTAATGACTCCTTTCAATGGTCATTGGGTTATACACCTGCTTATATTTGATTTCTCTTCGAGATTAGGGCTTGCTCTACTTGTGATTAACTATGTTTTTATAGGGCTTGCCATTAATTACCAAAACACCCATATATAGTTCGAAAAGAAATAGAAAAAAAATTGTCAACAATTCAAGAGAGGTAAATTAAGGAAATATATTCATGTGTGTGTGTGTGTTCAATTGTCATTTTTTGATGATTCAAAAGCAACACAATAGCACTTTTGTCTATAGTATCATTTGTGTAAAACTAATTCCACAATAACGTCACAAAAGTAATTCAAGAAAACAAAGTAGCAAGTACGAACACTTTTTTTATGAAATATATTTGACTAAGTTTTTTGTTTTCGCCAAATTTTATGTGAAGTTAATAACCCCAAAGCCTACACCAACTTAATTACAAGCCGTCCCGATGCAAGATTCCGACAGTCTATGTACACATGTATCTATACAAATATTTTGGAACATATATGTAAACGTGATATAGGATCAACTTTCAACGTGATAGGATCACAGATTTCAACGTTCTCGATCTTCAAATATAGAGTTGT